ATCAAACATCCTTTAATAATACTCTATTCACGTAAAAAAATTTAATCCGATATCTCAAATTTTCTGAAAGTTACAGCGTGTACAGACATTTCTCAAAAAATTCAAAATTTTATAAAAAATGAACCTTTTCATCGATTCTCACCAAATTCAATACCAACCATCCTTGAATGATACTCTATCCATATAAAAAAAATTTAACCCGATATCTCAAAAATTGCGGAAGTTAGAGGTTGTACAATATATTGCGTACATACATCATACACACATACACACATACATATATACATACATACATACAGACATTTTTTAGGAATATGATTTTTCGACGTTTTGGAACATTCTAAACACATTGGCATAGAAAACTCGAAAAAAAATTTTGTCACGAAAACAAAGCTTCCTCTATGAGGAAGCAATATATATACATGTAAAAATCACAAGTAGTGACAGATAGAGACTGTCAGCGAAGTAGACGTTGCAATTCGATCGTATACTATCCGGAGTTGTCGAGAAGACCAATTGTATAGATAAGCCCGAGACTCGATTTAACGAGGTGTCAGGTGCACCAACCGCGAACGGCGGATGCAGACTCTGAGATCAGTTTATGTGTTGTCGAGGTCACCTACTTAGATCGGACGAGATCGCGGAGCCATCGCTGAGTCAGAGAATAATGCTATCGTCGCGACGGGAGAAAAAGACGTGGTCTGGCGAAGATTGATAGTAAAACGTGTATATCTTGACAGGCCGAGACGCAGGGAATGGCCTGCTTAATCAATGCGCCTCTCTTTTTCCGAGAAGTTCTTTTAAGCGGAACCTTCACTCTATTCTCGATAACCTTTACTATCCGTCTCTCTCCCCCGCCGTGGTTGTCCTAATCTTACCGAGGAGACACAACGAATTTGAAATGATCCGCTAAACGTCACATCTTTGGTCGGAAGATCGAATCGATGTACAAATTTCAGCATTTACAAATGTCGACATTTACAAATGTCGATATTTACAAATGAATGTTGAAAGTGATATTAGCTCTTTCCCATTTACATATGTATATTATTATGTAATTTTGTGCACACACTTTCCGATCATAAAATAGCATAAACATATCTGAAACCAATAGATTTGTTTATCAATCACTGTTTATAATCGCTCGATATAAGAACAATTGTTAAAAAATTTATCGTCGATATGCAAGCAAACGGCTTAATAATAGCTCTGCATTTAATGCTTCTAATCAAGAAGATTGCAAGTTTTTTATAAAATATATTTTTAAAAACAATTCGATTTAGAATGTATTATTGCAATTGAGTAATCTTCAGATTAGTTAGTCTTATTAAACTGCATCCATATCGCTATGTAACTATTAAAAAGTTGAACTCGCATTTATTTCAATTTTCCGTTTTAATAAATAAAGTACCGATGTCTCACGTGTTAATATTACATCTATCTAATTTTTTTTTTCTTGCAAACTATGTTTAAGTATTTCTATGATGTGAGTGTACTGTAATCTCTTTAAATCCAGAATTATATATATGTATACATATATATATATAGTATTTAATTAGCTCATTATATTATGTTAGATAGCTTTTATCGAAGCGCTACACATTTAACTCATATCGATGTTATCTTCATATATTGGTTTTATTAACAGGTAGCGATATTTCATGTTTCACAAGGACCATTTATCGAGGAATTTCCACAATGCGTAACCCATGGCTTTTATACCGAGCCCTGGCAGGAACAGCTTTATGCTAGTTTCAGCCTGTTCTTCATGTTCCTCCTGCCATTGGCGATTTTAATTACCACATATGTATCTACGGTGATTACTATCTCCCGTAAGTATTTTTGCATTGCATACATTGTAAAATTGTACTTTCGATGACTGATTGTTATTCATATTGTAACTTTTCGATAATTCGTATTTATCTTGATAACTGAATCTGAAGCTAAACTCTTGAGAAAAAAATCTCAACTTGAATTTAAATGGGCAATAAAATTTTATCTCTTTTCTAAAATATTAAATTTTATTTCTTTTCCAAAATATGTTAAAATACGTATGTGTACAATATTCTTTGAATTTAATTATAATAAAGTCGCAATAATGTATGAAAATGATTTTAAAAAGATATTTGTATCAATATTGTATCATTTATAATTTAACAACGAGTACAATTTTATTTTGAATAAATAAATAATATAAGAATTTTAGAGAGGAAAAAAGAGAGAGAGAGAGAGAAATGCTGACGTAAAGTTTGATTATAATTATGTAATACACTAACGATAAGCTAAACTAACATTGTTCCAGAAAGTCAGAAAATGTTCAAAGCGGAGCCTGTGAGAGGAGTATACATTAGAAACAGCGACCTAAATAGGAGAAGACTGTTGCACCGGGCGAAAACAAAGTCATTACGTATTAGCGTCGTCATTGTAGCGGCATTTCTAATCTGGTGGACGCCGTACTACACGATGATGATAATCTTTTTGTTTCTCGATCCCGACGAACATGTTAGTATATACATACTTTATAATCGAAGCAAATATATTATATTACTTCGTTTGTGTCGTGTCAAAAAATCACTATTGATTCGCTAACGAACGTACGATGCTTCTAGCTCAGCCAGGAGTTACAGAACGGAATATTTTTCTTTGGCATGAGCAACAGCTTGGTAAATCCTTTGATATATGGTGCATTTCATCTTTGGCCACAGAAACAACGGCATGGCTCTTATCAAAGGTAAAAAAAATTTACGAGACCGTTCGACGTACCCTATCTCATTCTCTTTTTCCCTTTTCCATTCATGCATTTTGCTCCAACATATACTGGCATATTGCGAGAGTATGGTGAACGTATGTGTGTATGTCACAGTGCAACAATGGAAATCTTTATATGATTAAATGCAAGGCTCATTGGCATAAATTCAAATATAAATGCATTTACTCTATAGCGATTATTCGATGAATGAAAAACAAATATTACTGAGAAAACAAATAATACTACAAATATTATTACAACAAATAATACTACAAATATTCACACATTATATATACTACACAAAAAATTAAAGAGCTACTTTCTTCCTTCTACAGAAAAGGCAATTTTCAAGTAGTTGCAACTTCGTCGCATATAATCGGATTGAGATCAATAAAAAAGCAATGCTTGAAGTTTCTAGTTTCAGAATCTTTTAATCAATTTCAATTATTTTTATTTGTTACAAATTATTTGTAAATACTGTAGAGTTCATAAAAATGTCAACGTTTTTTTCATTAATTTGCATTGATTTAAATAAAAAAGAATAAAAGTTTTACTTAATTTTAAGGTAACGATTACACTTTAACAATGGATATTGATTGAAAAAGCAATTAGTGCATTTTAAAGTGCCGACTTTTCTCTTTAAATTGCTTTTTTCAAAGTCAATAGATTGATTTTACTTCAGTAGTGAACAATTCGGCAAAAAAAAATCATAGGATATTCATTAAAAAAGCAAATTAAAAATAAAACTCTGCTTTTTAAAATCTAATTAACGAAATTGTGCTACAATTTTTTTTTCTTCGGCACTCTTTGACAAAATTTTGAAAAATTTATTCAATTGACAGACGTCATCATAATGTAATTTTGTAACAAATAAAAAAATTTGAAATCGACTAAAAGATTCTGAAACTAGAAACTAGGAACTAGAAGCTTTGTAACGCTTTTTTATTGATCTGAATACGATTATATGCGACGAAGTCACTAGAAAGTTGCAGCCACTAGAAAATTGTATTTTCTGTAGAAGGAAGAAAGTGGCTCTTCTCAATTTTTTTGCATATGTAAGTATTTTATAATATCATATAGAATATTCGTCAAAATAAAATCTTAAACGAGATATTTTTGCAGGCATATAATATCTAAATTCATTATTTTAAATTAAGACATTTAACCTTGAAACATCCTATATACACATATACTATACTATTCAATTAATAATATTCAAATAAGACATACGATAAATCGATAAAATATATTTAATTAATATTATATGTATATATGTATAATATCTCATTCACATTATCTTGACTATTCCCATTGCTTTTGAAAACATGACAAAATATCTCAGTAAATGCAAAACATTTCTAATCATTAATATTATTGTAAATTATAGATCTGACTTTACGATGCGGAGTATGAGAAAACCCATGCAAAGCAAATCGTCGCTTCTCTCCCATCAAGAAAATGGCTGTAAAGTGCAGCATTAAGTATAATATTTTATCAAATAGAATTAGCATCTAACATAAAAACAACATATGTATATTGTGTGAAATCGTATCAAAAGATGATAGCATACATTGTAAAAAAAGGTATGTTAAATTACTTATTGTTCATGTAATTCTGTAATATTTTTTTACAGTGTAAGTTATACGAAGTGAGAAATGAAGAAAAGCATTACTCCGCCATATTCTTCATATCAAGTATCATTTAGTTAAGGAATTTTACAAATAAGAATTACCCTTTGCATAGAAAAAAGAATTTTATATATATATATGGAACAAATAAATTTATTTTAGGTAATTATTCAGAATCACGGCTCCACCTGCAAATGGGCTGCAAATTTTTTTACGGACTTTTTATGTTTAGAAAGAAATATAAATAATCATTTTTAGTTAGGAGAGGCCCAAATATAAAGTTATAGACCAAAAAAGGGTTCACCCCACAACCCAAACCAAATTTTAGTTTTAAATCAGAAATACATTTGGGTTAGGTTATATCTTCCGGAACAGTGGGTGGACACAGTGGGTTTCGCCCCCCCCCCCCTACGGGGGGGCTCTACTTCCGGAAGATATAACCTAACCTAAACCTATTTCTGATTTAAAACTAAAATTTGGTTTGGGTTGTGGGGTGGACCTCGCTTTGTTTTGGTAATTTTTGGGGTTTTTCGTTTTTTTTTGGGGGGTGGGGGTGATGGGGGATGTGCTCCCCCAACTGATTATCACTGTTGAAGTCACAACAAAGAGTTTTAGCGAGAGATCCGATCATATTTGTCAAAATTCAGAAAAGACCTTATTCAAAATAATTACACTTTTTTGGTCTATAACCTTTTTTTTGGGCCTCCCCCAACTAAAAATGGTTATTTATATTTTTTTCTAAACATAAAAAGTCCGTAAAAAAATTTGCAGCCCATTTGCAGGTGGAGTCGTGATTCTGAATAATTACCTTATTTTATTTCAATAGAACAAACACATTGCAAGAAAAATATAAATTAAGTATTTTAAAATAAAACTGAATATTTTATATATGCGTTATATTATACGATAATTTAAAATAAATTACACACACTATCGAGGAAATAAAAACAAACAAGCAATATGTCTATTGAAAATAACATAAATGATAAAGAATTTATAAATTACTACCGCATATCGTGTTGCTCTTTATATAGGTTGCCCGAAGCTTTTTCAGACCTCCTTTCCTTTCTTGTTCATCCTTTGCCGTTTCCTCGTGACACTCACAGTCACTCGCAAAAACACGATTGATTATAATATAATCATTATTCTGTATATAAAAGTATTACGGTAAGATTATCGAGAACTAAATATTTTACGAGATATTTTATTTTTTATATCAAAATATGTCAGATTAAGATATAAAATAACTCAAAAAATACTTAATGAAAAAATACTTTATTATAGTGTTTTGAAAACGTCTGGACAAGGGCTACAAGAATATGCAATAAAAAATAGGGGGTTCCATTTAAGAAAACATCGATCACATTGACCTGGCCTTGAAGAAGTCACTTAAAGTCAAATCCATATTTTCATCACCCCCTTCAAACCATGCAACTTTTGTCTGAAACATTTTTTCTTCCAATCACTTCCCTAGTTTTTAAATGGTAATTATTTCTTTAACAACACATAGAGTCAAATATATTTTGTCCGATGCTATATTATTTGATTTGTCGACAATCTAGATATAATTTAGATCAAGAACGTGTCGTAAAACAATCGAATCGCAAAATCGAATAATTAATATAACGATAAGCTACGTAATACATTAATCATTTAATAAATAATTGATCTATAATTTAAAATATTTATATATACATATAATTTAATATTTCGTATATATATTTTATAGTATATAAAATATTTCGACAGCGAATTAAAACAATACCTAACATGGTATTTAGCCTTGGCGGCGTAAACATTGACGCGCGTAAACATTGTTTACGTATCACGGCCTTATTATCATTCATACGGAGATTGAATAGGACTGTAGTGAAGCGAGACGATCAAATTCTTTTCTTACATGTTATCATTCGCATGGCGATACTTGAGGAGTAAATGATTTAAATATGATTTGGATTAAGAACGCATAATAAAATAGTCGAATCGCAGGTCCGAGTAATTAACATAACAATAAGCTTTGTGATATATTAATCGTTTGTTAAATAAATGATCTATAATTTCAAATATTTGTATAATTTATTCCGCTTGTATATTTGTCATAGTATGTAAAATATTTCGGTATCGAATTATCAATAACATGGTATCCAACCTCGGCGGCGTAAACAATAGCTTGCTAATATTTACATGCTTCGGTCTTGTTATCATTCGCGCGACGACACTCGAACAGAAAAGTAGTGGTGCGAGACGCTCCGCCAAATTCATTTTCTAAACGCGATTGCAACCAGTATCAGAAAATTATTTGCTATGATTAATAATTAATTAGCTTTTATAAATAACTGTATATAACTGCATACACATTACACATATCGCGACGATAGATCTCGAATCGCATATTTTGCGTAATTTTTTCATTTAATAAGATAAGAATTGAAGTGACAGAAATCGAAATTATAAATTATCATTTTGTTGCAATTTTTACAAAACAATAACTATTTTTCTATCGATACTTACAACAGAGTAAAAATATTTCGCCCAATGCTTTATCGACACTTTTCGATTATTTAAATATAATTCGGATTGAGAAAAAATTAAACAATCGAATTGCAGGATCAAGTTTTCCGTCATCGTGTCACGGTATCGCGTTTTCGCGTCGTCGCGTCTTCGCGTTGGACTTCTATCTCGTTTTCACGATTGTCATTGAGGATTGTGCCGTTTAAAGTATCGCGCGTGTGAATCAACCTGAGAGGAAGAGAAGACCTGGGAGAGGTATCGGGGGAGCAATCTGTCGTAAGTAATTTTTTATTTGTATATTAATTATTTATTAATTGCGTATGTGCAATTTAAATTAAACAATTAATCGCATAATCGTAATTTGATTTTTTATTTATATGATTTAAACAAGAGAGAATTAGAGAAAAATATTTTTATATAAAAGCTATAATCTTGTAAAAGTTTCTACTTTTAGATTATAGCTTTATATTAGAATTATTAGAGTTATTAGTAGTTTTTTTCCAAAATTTATAAAATTATCTTATTTATCTGCTTATTATCATATGCATCGAATATAAAATTCAATGCATACAATAAATTTTTTGAAATATTAATTACTTTGAGCGCTACTACAATTTGGATCTTCTATTTGTATGTTACAGATCAACGTAACGACCTTAACAATCCGAGAAGAGGGGGAGGCCTAGGAGAGGCATCCTGCACCGGCGGAGCAACCCAAGGGTGAGTATTTATTATTTTTATATTGGCTGTTAAAAATCACGTACGCGCATAAATTCAGTCTCATTATTTGAATGAATTAAACAAGAGAAAATTAGAAAAAAACTTTTAAGTCCGATAAATGTTTCTATTATTAAAAAAATAATCTTTTTAAAATTTATAAAATTGTTTTGTATTTATGTATCTGCTTATTATCGTACGCATCGGATATAAAATAATAATTTTTTGAAATATTAATTATATTTTGAGCGCTGCTATAATTTGAATTTTATATTTGTATGTTACAGACAACCTCAAGACCAACAATTCCGCTGTTGCGCATCAGTGCCGGTGAGTGACAAACTTTTATTTAATTTTAAAATAACGGATTTTTAGAGATTATAGATGTAGATTGTAGATCATAGATTGTAGATAAATCCGTTACTTTTAAATGGATGAGTTGAAAACAGATTAAGTTGAATAACTTTTAATAAATTCTTTTAATATGCATTGCATCTATTGCAAAAATAAATTAAAGTCTAAATTAAAAAAGAAAGATTATAGAAAACATTTTTTCCAATTTGTAGATTTTATCTGATTTATTGAATAAAGAACGCTAGTAATTTTTATCAACGCTAGTATTTTATTTTAGTATTTTATATACGTATAATGGTAACTTATTCTTATAACGCGCGCCGATCTTATTCTAATTTCTTACAGCTCATCCATATCGTAGAATTTGTTTGTAGATATTGTTTTTAAACTTTGTTTTAACTGATATAAAAGAGACCAAATGATCAAGCAATTAAATCACCTGTAATATGATAATAAATGGCATAAATGTTGTATAAATTAATCTTATTTTATTATAAATTATATATTATTATATAAATTAGTATTATATTATATTATTATTATATATATTACTATATTATTATATAAATTATATATTAATATATAAATACTAATCAAATCTATATATTTATCATAATTTATCATAAGTTTTTCATCAAAATTTTGATTGATAATTTGGCTTTGTCTCAGTTAAAATAAAGTTAACGTTTAACGAACGATCGTAAAATCATACGATTGTCAACGAGCGTGAAATGTTTACGTTCATCTGCTGGCGACATTAATTGGCCGGCAAAAAAAGGAGTTTATCTCCTTACGTGCGCAAGAAAAATCTTGCGCTTATTTGCCGGCAATAAAAGGGGTATCTCCTGCGTATCTCCTTTTCCGATCTCTGGTTAGAGATCGATCCAGAAAATGGCCAGGAGCAACGAAAGGTAGGTCCAACTGGCCTGAAGAATAAACATAGGCTACGCAAAATAGGCGGTCAATATTGGCCAAAATCCGTAGCGTAAGATACGAGTAGGGCTCGCGGTTAGGGCACGCGGTTAGGACACGCGGTTAGGACACGCGATTAGGGATACGTTCTCTAAATCTCCATTGACTCAGCCAGCAAGTAGGATTGTTAGAATTATAGGGACCATTAGAACATTAAAGAAAAAGCTAAACATATAAAAAATATCAAATAAGAGTGTAAAGATTCGATATTAAACTAACGGTTAAATATTATCTTCTTATTCACGAAATTTAACGATCACTTTCAATATTGCAAAATTACGAGTAAATTATTATGAATTTTATGATTTTCTTTTAATTAGAGATTGATGTATTTATAATTTCTGTATTGGAATCAAATATTCGTAAAATAAATTAATAAATTACATTGCGAAAATACCATTTTTATTCCGCATTCATTTCGCGTTTTTTCCACATTTTTTTCCGTTCTTTCTGTTTTTGAACGCGATCGCTGTCCCTCTCGCCAGGTGAACGTTAATAAAGTTGCCTGGTTCATACCGACAAATAGTCGTGTAATTATAATTGTATTATAATTGTATTGTATAAAATTGTA